GCGGGGGCGCGGCTGGCAGCGCCTCCCGGTGAAGCCTGTTCTGAGCTGCCTAAAATAATCCAAAGAGTAAGTCTGAGAGGGAAAGGGAAGATGTGGCTTGAAGTCCCGACTAGGAGCAGGTGCAAGATCAGTGTAGAATAGTCCAGAGCCAACAAAAGGCAAATTTAGATAGCTGGAGAATTAAACGGACCGATTTAGTGTCAACACTGATTGTCATTTTTGCCTGTCCCCCTCAGCACGCCGAGCCCGGCGTTGTTTTTCTCCAAAAGCTTAACTTTTGCAGCAAGAGATTATTTTTTGTTCCTTCACCAGCAAAGAAAGCTTCCTCCTTGCCCGCAGCAAGAAGGCGGATGGATTTTCCCATCCCTGATTATGAACAGAAATTCAAGTTAGCTTTCAATTAAGGGCTGAAGTTTTCAGACACCCGTAACCCCTCCCCTCTCCCCCCCCACTTCGGCATCTCACGCTCCCCGGGAAGGATTAGCAAGAGTTTGGACAAAGAATATTAATTTACCGTGATGGTGCTTTTCCCCTTCTCCAGCTGAGGACTCAAACTCGGCGTCGGTTCACGAGTGAGCTGAAGATGGAAGCGCACGTTATCGCTGCTCCTGAGGAGCTACTTACTTTTAATTGACTAAGAAAAGAGAAGCAATTAGAATACAGATGAAAACGCAGCCACGTAATGAATTTTTTAACCACCACTTGGATCTGTCAAGTAGATTTCTGTGGCGCAGTCGTGGAAACGCGTAGCGTAGCCAGATGGAAATAAATCACTGAGAACACTTGGAGCAGATTTGACATTTAACGACGGGGGAGAAGAAGGAGGAAGGAACTTTTCTGATTTAGAGGAATCTTGATAAACACTTAAGGCAGGATCCTGATTATTTCTGTGTGTTTGTACCTGCTGCTCCATGCTGGGCAGGTGGGCGCCTCTCGTTAAGGAACGTAATGCTCTGCTGGACCGCGTACATGCGGGTGGGTAGATGAGGCTCGCCCAGCGTCTCCGACGTTGAGAAGAACTCCTGAGAAGTACAGCAACTGGGAAAACAATGACAGCAGTACTGCCAGGGTCGACCTGTTGCTGTCGAGCGTTTCTGGAAGTATCATTCGTGGCAGAGTTTCTGATTGGTGACGGATGACTTTTTTTTTTTTGCAGTCTGGCCTTACTAAGGCTGTGAAGGAGAGTAAAATCTCGCTGCAGCAGGCAGAGTACGAGTTCCTGTCCTTCGTGCGACAGCAGACACCGCCGGGCCTCTGTCCTCTCGCAGGTAAAGTATCTGCTTTGCTAACGATAACGATGCCGTCCCTCCCGCAGCTCCCAGCTGGGTGCCCAAGGGCCTGCGTTGCGCGTGGCGGGGACGCTTCGGTTCTCCATGCCGAGCTCCAGCGTGCAAACCAAACCCCGTTTAGTCGAGAGACGTTCAGTGACGGCATCGGCCGTTCTGCAGACTCCCTGAAGCGAAGGCTGCGTGTCGTTACTGTGGGAAACCTCCATCCTTACTGGTTTCGGTGTGCGGTTGTAACTGGGGCGGGCGGCCTGACGGCTGGC